TTATCACAGGCCAGTTCAGCTGCTTCAGTGTGCAAGTGATCCTGACCATGCAGACTGCAGACTTTGCACCAATAGTGTACAGTGAAACACACAATACTCCACATTGCTTAAATCATTCCTTAACTGTGTATGATACTGAACAAGAATATGTGTATAGAGTACTATATAGTATAAATGTGTATACAAACACTGTATGTTACCAGAAAACCTTGCTGTGGCTGCAACACTCATAAATGAATGAAAGGAGATGATATTTTAGGTGCGGTTACTGTACACACACACACACACTTCCAACCTCTTCAGCCTGAGGGCCACACATTATTTCAGAAAGGTCAAAAGGACCACAATAAGTGGTTTGGGTCAGATTCTCAGCCCTGCTCCCCTCTCTTTACACAGCACAGGTGGTGCAAAGGGAACAGAAGCCACCTGTAAGTCCCCTGCTGGGGATTCCCTGGGGTAGGGAATACATCGGGAAGAGCCATAGCCATTTCTTCCCTTCCTTCCTGGCACACAGAGGAGTGTGGGAGGAGGTAAGGGGAAGTGGCTGGAACAGCTGTGCTTTGGCTATCCTCAGTGGGAATGTGTTTCTTAGAAGACTGTTGCAAAATGGTACAAGTTACAGCAGCCCGCAAGCTACTCTGAACCGTACCAGGGCAGGAAGAGACCTAATCAGTTACAGTTGTCAGCTTCTCTTTTCCCCTCTCTCAGGTTGCCCTGTCTGGTTGTGTGAGGGAGGGCAGCCTTCCATTGCTAGGCACTCCCTTAGGTCTGGCACAGCCAGTTGATGTTCTCTCCTCTTCTCTCTGGAGCGCCCAGAGCCTGGAAGGGAAGCATGCACCAGAAAAGGCAGAACTACTCTCACCTCCCTACCCAGCATTGCAGTAGGTGGCCAACAGGGAAACTGCTGAGCAGCTGCTGCTAAGAGATAGCGGCTCTCAGAGCACTTCCAGCTCACACCAGACCTACACCTGAGGCTGCAAGAGAGGAGGTGGGAGGCAGCTGGGGAAGAGGGAGCAACAGGGCCAATTCCAACTCTTCCATTTAAAAATCACTGGGCACAGCTCTGGGAACACATTTTCAGTTCAGAATCAAATATAACATTTTCTTCTTAGCAAACAGTCACCCTCACAGTCTACAAAGTGGCCTCCGTGGACTTGGTCACCACTGAGACAGAGACAGACAGGAAGATCCCAAAATAAGTAGTCTCTGCTTAGCTTCTGAAGTTGATGGTGACTTCTTTGTAGCATACAATTTCCAAGCACACATACCGTAATACCATAAACTGTAATAGTTTTCTTATATTTCTTTTTTGCTGTCATGATACTCAGATTCAGATGAAACTGAAGACTTAGGGCCAGAATCTGGCCTTGACTCTCTTCATTTTGTGCTACTGTAATGACACAAAAGAAGAGAGCTGGGGCTTTTCTGAAATATGGAAATCCCCAGGTGGTATAATACTAGTATAGCCAGCAATTTGTCACTCATTTAGGCACGGGGGTGTTCATGGTGCAGATTGGTAATTCCTAGCCAGGTCTGTGACTGGGAATGTTTACATTAAGCAGAATTTTAATTTTCTAATTGCACTCTGATATGTGGTTACTGCGATTAACTCAGACATATATCAATAACTTTAATTCTGTTATTTCTGACAAGAGGGTTGGAGAGTTTAATATTGGCTTTTGTACATATTTTGTCATAATACAAAATGTTGAATGTAAAATGGTAATGTACAATAAAATCGCTGATGGTTAATGTTCCTAATTCTATTACACACATTGGTTAATCATGGACTGGGATACTTAAAATGAGTCATCTATTAAGAGATTTCCATGTGGATTAGAATAGTCAGAAAAGTGGAATAATTTCAGAAGTGTTTCTCTATGAAAACATATTTGCATTATGAGAATAAGGAAGAGGAAGAAAATCAGCAGAGCCAAGAATTGCTTTTCTTTTTCAACAAATGATTTTTATTGTTTTCTCTCAGTCTTTAGTTTTGCCTACACACTGCTACATATTAAGAGTCTAGGGCATATTCTGTCCAAGAATTCCTATGGGATTGGTGCATTTCTGTACCATGCCATCCTTCCCAATGGCTGCCCCCTTTAAGTGAAATCTAGCCCTCGGACTTACATCTCCACTGTACTATTCTACTGTAACATTTACATTATGTATAGCAACACATTCTTGGTTTTTGAAACATTTGTATCTAGAATACACTATTCCATTGGGGAAAACTTCCCAAAAAGTAGCAGTAATAGATTGTGAAAGATTTTTCAGACCATTATTTCATTGTTGAGTTTTTAACCCAATAAACCTGTAACACTTAGAAGTAGTTTCAATATATGGCACCCTTACTGAATGTCAGTGGAGAAGCCAGGGACTGACTGGGCCATGAAGAGTGAATTACCCTTTCAACCCTACAGATGGTTCTTCTAGAACAGAGGTTCTTAAACTGGGAGTCATGACCCCTCAGAGGGTCATGAGGTTATTATGTGGGGGTCATGAGCTGTCAGCCTCCACCCCCCAAACTTTGCTTTCAGTATTTATAATTGTGTTAAATATATAAAAAAATGTGTTTTTATTTACAGGGGAGGTTGCACGAGAGGCTTGCTGTGTGAAAGGGGTCACCAATACAAATGTTTGAGAACCACTGTTCTATAACATGGTGGAGGCATAGTGATAGAAGAGTGTGGGGAAGCTTGCTCGTCTGTAGATAGATAGAGGATTCCATTCTTCAGGACTGTGTGTCTAGCATCTCGTCCCGGTGCTAAATGCTCGGGGGGGGGGGGAACCACCTCATGACCTCTCAAAATATTAAACTATACTTATACCCACCTGAGCATTTAGCAGAGAGGCCACATCACAAATCCCCTCTCTCTACACCAAACAAATCTCTTGCTGTCAAATTCTGCAGTTGATCAGCCATTTGTGTTGCTCAGAATGAAGTGCATTGCAGTGAGCCAGCCTTGATGGCACATGGACAATCGGATTATATAATTAGCTCTTATTCACGATAGCTGAGGAGGATTTATGGTGGTTATCACTGATTATACAATAAAACCTGTCAAGCAAACTGGTGGTTTTGTTCTCATCAGGAAATACACATTTCAAGACAACAGTGAACAATTAACTTTGACAACTGTGCTTTAATAAATGACAGCTTTTGAGCGCAGGTGCCTGGCATACCATTGTGCTACCAGCAATATTTCTTTAAGAGGGATTATTTACAGATAGACTTGGCAGGAAAACAAAATAAAATGATGGAAGTATTAAACATTTGACTTGTCTGTTCCATCTATTAGTATAATTCATAAATTCCACTGCCCTTTTGAAATAAAGAAGCATCTATTCATATAGTTCAAAACATGTACAAAGTATAGTCAGTATTTTAAATATGCATTGAATACACTGAAACTAATCCTTCTTGTAATTTGTACAGATTATATTAAAGCTAACAAGGCTGGATTGTGGGACAAACTCAGCCCTGTATGGGGAGTTGTGCAGATGTGCATTGCTCAAAAACCTTAGCAGGATCGTGCAGGAGGGAGGTATAATGCACCCTGAGCTCCCAGGAGCATATATAATCTATCAAGGCTACTTATATGGCCCCCCAGTACCATAGTAACTAAGCACCTCCCCATCTTTACTGCATTTATCCTCATAAAAGCCCTGAGCTAAACAGAAGTGCTATTATCCCCATTTTGCATCTAGGGAACTGAAGCACAGAGAGATTTGGTCTATTCACTTACTGTCTCATCTTATATTTAGGATGACACTCAGTGTTGCCAAAGGGATGGGGTGCAGACTGGGCAGGCTGGAACACAGAATAGGAGTGTCAGGGCTTAGCTATTTTGAGTTGTGTGCAAGCAGAAACTAAAACAGTAAAATTAGTTAAAATGGGAAAAGTGTACATATATATATATTTCACCTATAATGACTGACTGAATGTTACTCAGAAGAATTCATCACTCGGCCAAGACCAAGTATATAAACTTTCCACCCCAAAATATGAGATTTTCAGATAGTGATGAGCAACTGACAACAGGGGATTATAAATGGGATTCCTCACATAGCTTTACCTGCAGCAGGGACTGTGGTACAGAAGCAGAACCTTCTCCCAGATCAGTGGGGTCAGGATGCCCTCCATGCATGGCCCTAGAAGGTCCATTGGGCTTCCAAAAAAATCATCTCTCAAACCTACTCTCACAAAAAGGTTCAGCAGAGGGAGTAAGAAGATCAGACCAGCAAGCCCCATCCTTGTTGGAAACTGTGCCAGGGAGAGAATGAAAATATGCTGCACTCAGAAGCAATTTCGTTGATAATATGGTTTGAGATGCAGATGAAATGTACTGACAGACTGACCTTTCTTCTTACATTGTTTGAACATTCTTATAGAGGTCAGCAGCTCTGGGGCGAGGGGGAGGAGACTGGTGGGGGAGGAGGCATGGGTAGCTGGTGGGGCTTTGTAGAGCGGATGGAAGAGAACTGTGTGGGTGATATGGGTTAGGGGAATCAAGGGCTCCACAGCACTGTTGCCTTAGCTCCCCAGTGCACCAATGCAGCAGTTACACAGAAAGCCCATGATGTGCTGGCTCCTCAGTGAAGAGATACTTAGTTCATCAGCCTGCTTCCTCTGTGTGCTGGTGAGCTGATGCAGCAAAACTGGAGCAGATGAATGTCTCTGCACTGAGGCATTGATACCTAAAGGTCTCTCCACAAACTGTTGCTTCAGTGCCTTGGATGCCCTTCAGTCCTGGTTGCCTGCACAGCTGTGCATCTTCTGTCAAATCTCTGCCAATTTAGGTAAGCAGTTAAAGTAAGCAGACAGGAAATTCGCGGCAAGCGATTAAATGCCTCGCCCAAGGCCCTGCTGCAAATCAGTGACAGAGCTGGCAATAGCATCCAGGCCTCCTGAAAACACCCCCTGTAGCACAGCTGTTCTCCAAGAGAAAGATGGTGGATTTATCAACAGAGGGTTCCAGCAGTTCAGGAGTAACTTTGCAGCCACTGTAATGTCCCTCATATTATAATGTGGGGCAAGTTACTCTACATTAGCACTTACAGCATTTATGATAGAGCCCAGTCCTGTGTCCACTGAAAGTCATGCGTCCCTGGTAATAAATAACCGAAAGTGTCATTTTCTTCCAACACTGACCCAGGAACTTTATGAGAAGGAGGAAAGCAGTGTTATCCCTAATAGTACTCTGTTCTTTGTATGATTCACTTCTGCCTACCACCCTTCGCAACCCTCTCCTGCTGGCATCTGACTATGTAAATGTAGACACAGCCTCACACTGAACTTGATGGGCATTTGTCTTCAGTGGGATCAGCATCAGGACCGTCCACCTGTTTTCTGGCCAACTCGCACCTCCTGTGTAACATACTTCAACCACCGGATTTAGCTCTGAAGATGGGGCCAGATTTGTTTCTCAGGTACACCAGAGTACCTGTAATCCATTCTTCAGTGTGTATCATGTATCCCTCTCTGTGCCTGATCTACAGAGGATATCAGTCTGCTACAGCTCTCACATATGGAATTTAGTCCTTTAGCTCCAGCTCTAGAGACTCATATTTCAGCTCTGGAGGTCTTTGGTCCAATAGTTACACAACCCCATTGATTTCACTGGGGCTTCAAGGATGTAAGAGTGGGTAAAACTTGGCCTGAGGAGTTTGCCTCAGTTACTCTACCTGCCCACACCAAATTCCTGCTTCCCCTTGCCCCTCCACCCTCAAAGCCTGGAGTTCAAGGATGCCCAGTGGGAGTTCAGGTGGCAGGTGGAGCTAGGTGGGCTGTGGATACTGGAAAGCAGTTGAGGTTGAGCCGATGAATGGATCAGCAAAGTGTAGATGGGGAGCTGAATGATTTCATTGCTTATTCCCATGCTTTTTACCTCTTGGGCTGGTGGTAAATAGAGTATAACAACCTTACCTTAAAGAAGTTAATGACCTTTTTTGTGTGGTTCTGGTTGAATTTGATCCCCAGACGGACAGCATCACAAAATGTGTCAGGACTGCAAGGTAAGTGCTTTTTAATTCCTAATTACCGCATCTGGAAAATTGTACAGTCATAGCAGAAATTCATCATTTTGCATTCCTAAAATTGCCAATATGTTCACTGACGTTATGTTCAATTAGCTTAGGCAAAGTTATACTGGGTGTGTCTTAGCACTGTCATGCTTAATGCAGTGAGTCAGAAATGGGAGAAACGACTTATCTTTAATAACATTAACATTTTCACCAGCCGATGATTTGCACTGAAATTTCATGAAGGTGGTAGCATTAAGACAGAGGCCGCTCAGAACAGTCTGCCACCCTAGGCAAAACATTAGTGCGTTGCCCCTCCCTCCCCTCAGATCCCTAAGGAGGTTGGGGTGCAGTAGGGGGTGCAGGCTCTGGGCTGGGGGGTGGGGCCAAGGGATTCAGAGTGTGGGAGGGGGCTCCGGGCTGAGCCTGGGGCATGGGGTTAGGGTGCAGGAGGGGGTGCAGGCTCTGGGAGGGAGTTTGAGTGCAGGAGGGGGCTCAGGGCTGGGGCAAGGGGTTGGGGTGTGGGAGGAGGTGAGTGGTGCGAGCTCTGGGAGGGAGTTTGGGTGAGGAAGGGGGCTCAGGGCTGGGACTGGGGTTTGGGCTGTGGGAGGGGCTGCGGGATGCAGGCTCTGGCCAGACGATGCTTACCTCAGGCAGCTCCCAGAAGTGACCGGCATGTCCCTGCGGCTTCTAG